CTTGAACTCTGGGCCTGGGCACTGTCCCTCAGCTCTTCAACTCAAGGCAAGCCCTCTACCACTTGAGCCACATCACCACTTCTGGCTTTTTCTGTTTATGTGGTACTGAAGAATCAAACCGGGGCTTTGTGCATGCTAGGTAAGCACTCTACCACTAAGCCGCATTCCCAGCCATAATTTTTTTTTTTTGTCAGTCATGGGGCTTGAACTTGGGGGCCTGAGCACTGTTCCTGAGCTCTTCAGCTTAAGGCTAGTGCTCTACCACGTGGGAAACAGTGCCACTTCCGGTTTTCTGATGGTTAATTGGAGATAAGAGTCTCACGGACTTTCCTGCCTGGGCTGGCTTTGAACGGTGATCCTCAGATCTCAGCCTCCTGAGTAGCTAGGATTATGTGAGCCACCAGTGCCTGGCTTCTAATTTTTTTTTTTTTTAAGAAGACACATTTAGATGGTGACCAAACTGCAAATGATGCAGCTGGTATCTGGTATGTATATTTAAATCCCAGAGCTGGCACTGGTGACTCACATTTGTAATCATAGCTACTACTCAGGAGATTGAGATGTAAGGATCAAGGTTTAAAGCCAACACTGGGAGACAAATCTTATCTCCAGTTAACTAGCAAAAAGCCAGAACTGAAGGCATTGCTCAAGTGGTATAGTACAGATCTTATTTATTTCTTTATTATTTAATAGCTCACTTCTTTTTTTTGGGGGGGGGGTCTGGTCGTGGGGCCTGAACTCTGAGCCTGGGCACTATCCCTCAGCTCTTCAGCTCAAGGCTAGCACTCTACCACTTGAGCCACAGCGACACTTCCGGCTTTTTTTCTTTTTGCTTATGTGGGCTGAGGAATCGAACCTTGCATGCATAGAGTGCATGCAAGGCAAGCGCTCTACCACTGAGCCACCTTCCCAGCCCCAATAGCTCACTTCTTAAGCTCAAAGGTTAAGCAGGAGTGAGTGAGTCCCTGATTTCAAGACCCAGAAGCAATACAAATGATAAATAGATGATAGATAGATAGATAGATAGATTATAGATAGATAGACAGATAGAAATACTCATTGGGTATTGGATCTCTATGTATGATCTTATAATTTTCCCCCTGGTTTCTCCACAGGAGATGCAAGTTGCAAGTCTTAGACTTGACAAAAGAACACCAAAACTTCTGGAATGTGTGGTCTGGAGCAATAGATACTGATACCTCACAACCACCACCAAAGAGAAGAAGGAACCAATTAATGGAGGCCTTTCCAGGGCCAGGAGAGAAGCAGCCCTTAAGGGTGACAGTAGACCTGTCCTTGAAGCGTTGTGATGAAAATGAACCTCAAAACTACTTGTTTGAGTGGGCTAAGCAGAAGAAATGTTTGGTCCAGCTGTGCTGTAGGAAGCTGCAGATTTGGGAACATTGTTACTGTAATATCAATGAATTGCACCCGTTCTCTTTCTTGGACCCACTGGAGCTAGTGTATGTGGAGGAGGTGGAAGTGAACTGCCCTTTGAGCCTGAGCACATTGGCCATGTTTGCTCCTTACCTGGGCAAGATGAAAAATTTGCACAAACTCTTCCTCTCACACATCTATGTGCCTGAATGTATGTCTTCAAAGAAACAGATGGAACGTGCCGCCATATTTATTTCTCAGTTCAGCAACTTCGACTGTCTCCAGCAGCTCTATATGAATCGAGTCTCTTTTCTCCAAGGCAACCTGCACCAGATACTCAGGTAAGGAAGAATGGGCAGCTCTCTGAAGAGCAATGCCCAGCTTTTTTTTGTTGCCTGCAACATGGATAGACATGTGCTGACTATCAGCCAGGATGATAGATATTAGTGTGCATGTTCCATTTCTTACTCTGACCGTATGTTTTTTTTGCCAGTCCTGGGGCTTGAACTCAGGGCCTGGGCTCTGTCTCTGAGCTTCTTTTGCTCAAGGTTAGCACTCTACCACTTGAACCACAGCACCACTTCTGGCTTTTTTTTTTGGGGGGGGGGGGTCCGGTCGTGGGGTCTGAACTCTGGGCCTGGGCTCTGTCCCTCAGCTCTTCAGCTCAAGGCTAGCACTCTACCACTTGAGCCACAGCGCCACTTCCGGCTTTTTTCTTTTTGCTTATGTGGTGCTGAGGAATCAAACCTAGGGCCTCATGCATGCAAGGCAAGCGCTCTACCACTGAGCCACCTTCCCAGCCCCAAACTTCTGGCTTTTTCTGTGTATGAGGCACTGAGGAATCGAACCCAGGGCTTCATACATGCTAAGCAAGCACTCTGTCATTAAGCCACATTCCAAGGCCTGTTATTATATCTTAAACTATCCTGCTATGCGGTCTCCCAAAGCCTTTCTAAATCAGAAGACAAATCAGAGTAGATGGCTGTGGAAAGTGCCTTCATGTCTGCAAGGCAACAGTGGGGCATCTAATCTAGGAAAAGTGGCTAGGAGTTTCCCTTTAGGAAGCCTATGGTCAGGGCATGTATGAGGAAGAAGAGGACAATGAAGGAGAGATTGAGCACCTGCCCGGTTTGTCCTGTGCACACTGCTCTCTGAGCTCCATTTGGAACAGGTGTTGTGCGCCCAGGGAGAGGAGGCAGTTGGTTCTGGGGTTGAGGAAGATTTCTAGGGAGGTGGAGGGGGGATGGACAGCACTTAAAGCTTTCAGGATGAGACCTCAGGAATGAGCCCTAGCAATGTTGCCAGACCTGCCCTGGATTTGTCTTCCTACATGTGGCCACTGGCCTTAAGTGGCCAGAGCTGAAGGATGGGCTTGAAGAAAGAGAGCTGTGGAGTTGGGGGACTGAGCTACTCAAAATCCTCAACCTCCAATAGGGTGATTAGTGACCACAGTCTTTGCTTTGCTTTGCTTGTTTTCTTGGGGGTATGAGGGGTCCACTCAGGGGCTTGGTGCTTGCTAGGGAGGTATTCTGCCACGTGGTCATACTCAGATGGTCAGATCTACCTTGAATTGGGTGAAAAAGGTTCCAGTCTGCAATACCTATATCAGAACTGCATCCCTGCCTTCTCCTCAGGTCTCTGAAGACTCCCTTGGAGACCCTGTCAATAACACACTGCAGGCTTAGGAAATCTGATCTGAAGTGTCTGCCCAGGTGCTTGAGCACTCACCAGCTAAAACACCTGAGTCTGAAAGGTGTCAGCCTGATCCCTGTGCGTCCTGGGATGCTCCAAGCTCTACTAGAGCAACTTGCAGCCACCCTGGAGATCCTGAACTTGGAGGACTGTGGGATCGAGGACTCCCATCTCACTGCCATCCTGCCCGCCCTGAGCCAATGCTCCAAGCTCACCAAGCTCTGTTTCTATGGGAACCACCTCTCTCTGGCTGTCCTGAAAAACCTGCTGTGCCACACTGCCAGGTTGAACCAGCTATGCCTCGAGCTGTACCCTGTCCCTCTGGAAGCCTATGATAGCCCGAGTGCTGTTCGCACACAGAGGGGTTCCCTGTACTGTGCCGAGCTCATGGACACACTGAGGGGCATAAGGCAGCCCAATATGGTGTCCTTCGGTGTGGAACCCTGCCCTAAATGTGGACATTCCTGCTTCTATTATATGGACTCCATTCTGTACTGCTCTAGGAGGCCTACCTAGCTTGGTGCCAATGTCACTAGTTTTTCTCCTGGACACTGGGAAGTGAAAACCAAAGCAGAAGCTCAGGGGAAAAAAAAACACACAAAGTTGAACTGGGTTGAGAGTACAGGCATGCAGGGAAGCAGTGTGACCTTGGGATATATGATGGGGTAAATTAAGACTTTGCCAGAAAACCAAGCAGACATCCAGGTACAAAGAACAAAGAAAGGTTGGTTGCTGGGAAAGGGGGCCGGCAAGACCCCTTCTCACAGGGAGAAGTCAGAAGAAGCGCTGGCTATTTTCTGAGGTGACCTATGTAACCCAGGAAGTCTAGGAGCTAGAAAAGGCTAGGAGGAGAGACCCTGGTGTGGACGTGTGGGCCAGGGGCTTCATCATGGCGGACTAGGATTTATGGCTGCTGTCCAAATAGTAGATAAGGCTCCTGCAACTGCCCTGACCTGAAGGTCACTCTAAGGGGCTCTTGCTGCCTTCTATGGTTGTAGCTGCCCCAGAGAAGTGCCATCCCAAGGGAAAGGGGGCTGGAGGCTGATTACTTACTGCCTTCACTACATGGGCCTGGTGCTGCCCATGGAAGGGAGCATGTGGAGAGGGGAAGGAGGGTACTAAGCTATGGGAAGGGAGCTCATTTTGCTAACCGTACAAGTCTTCTGCATTCTGGGAAGCAAATCAGAATTTCCCCACGGGGCTTCACGCAGCAGTTCCCTGTGGTCATTTGATAACATTAGTAGTTCCCTGTGGTCATTTGATAACATTGGTCTTGTTGGTTGATCTCTGGAATGATCCCTGACAGAGAGTACCTTGACGTAATCCCTGCTGCTTCCAGTGTAAACATCTGCAAAGTTCTGTGACTGTAGGGGGGGGGGGCGATGAAGGTGAGTTGCCTGAACGAGGCTGACACCTATCTCTGGTAACACTCCCTTGTCTCTAATTGGATTAAAAGACACCCCACTGTTACTGTGTTGCTTGTTTTCTGTGACTCTAATAAAACACCAGAGGCAAGAAACTGGTGGAGAGAAAAGGGTGATCTAGCTCACAGAATAAGGGGGTCCAGCCCCCCCCCATCAGGTATTCTCATCACTTTCTCACTTCCAGCTCTGGGGAGGGTGCTTGGGTGATCTACACATGAGAAAAAAACTTCAGACCAGATTCCCCAGACTCTTCAAGGACACACCCACAATAAGCACAGGAAACACTTTGTATATAAATATTTGTGTTGAGATTTATATTAGGAGGCCTTTAAAGGACACTATAAAAGGACACTCATCCAAGGCCCAGGTTGGGGACAGTCCTTGTGTTGGGTCCCAGGCAACCAGAGTTAGGGAGATTCCCTGAGGCGGAGGGAGGGCCCCAGGCCGCCAGGCTGTGCTGGGGCAGGGCATCTTCAGCACCGCGTTCTCGGTGGCTAGGTAGTGACTTCACAGGAGCACTTTGGGCCCTGGGTATGATTCTTCTTCACCCCAGAAGTCATCTGCCTCCGGTGTCTCCAAGAGCCAAACGGCTCGGGGAAGGTCACAGGTGGCGCCTCCTTGGGCTTCTTCCGGCCCCAGGGGAAGGTGCTCCAGCATTTGGTAATAGTGGCATTCCCGGCCGAGGGTGGGGTCGTAGGGCGGAGCCAGGATGTCCAGGAAGGCAGCTGGGCCCCGAACCGCCAGGATCTGATGCAAGTTGTCCTGGCTCGGGCTGAGGACGCAGGGGGCGCTGGCCTCGGTGTACTCGGCCTCGGAGCGCAGGACCCCAGGCCGCGGGGTGGCCCCCTCGGGGGTCCCCGGCGGCGGGGCCTGCTGCCGCAGCGCCCCCGGGCCCGGCCCGCCGCCCGGCTCCAGCCGGTCCAGGCAGCGGATGCGCACGGTGCCGTAGAGCACCCGCAGCAGGCCGTGCATGCCCGGGTGGTCGTGCAGCGGGATGCGGGCGCTGGCCCGCAGCAGGAACACGCCCAGGCTGAAGGCCGGGGTCTCGCAGATGCGCATGTAGGTGAAGGGCGCCCGCCGGGAGGCCCTGCGCGGGGCCAGCCGGAGGTCCCGGGCCCGCACCTGGCCCAGCAGGCTCTGCAGACGGCCCAGGTTCTCCCTGAAGCCAGAGGTCGCCTCAAGGTCGCCGGGGTCCCCGGGGCCGGGGAAGGTGAGGCTGGCCTGGAGGGCTAGCCTTTGAATCAAAGGAGCCCCGTCGTCGTCTTGGGGCTTGCTTGGCTCTTCCTCGGAGCGCCACAGGCGCCTCCAGCCTGCCTTCCACTTCCTGAAGCCCCATCCAGTCCACCCCTTGGGGTCCCCGGCGGCTGCCATGCTTCCCCGAAAGCCCAGCAACTACCGCCGTGCGCACGCGCAATGCCCGCCACCCACGGCAGCCACGTGGGCCGCAACCGCCCAGTACGCTGCCCGGCCCCCTGCCCTCCCAGCCCCTGGGTGCTCTCTAGTTTCTGCTGCTCAGTTCGGCCCTTTTTATAGCTATTAAAAATAGCATGGCCGGGCGCCGGTGGCTCACGCCTGTCATCCTAGCCACTCAGGAGGCTGAGATCTGAGGATCACGGTTCAAAGCCAGCCTGGACAGTGAAGGCCTGACACTCTTATCTCCAATGAACCACCACAAAACTGGAAGTGGCGCTGTGGCTCAAGTGGCAGAAGAGCACTAGCCTTGAGCTGGAGAGCTGAGGGGCAGCGCCCAGGCCCACACAGCAGACAAGCAAATAAAAATAAAAAGTGGCATGAATAAGGAAGGGGGAGGAGGGGAAGCCTTAAGACCCGGGGAGGGGGGTGCCATTTTAGTTGTCAAAGTCTAAAGAAAAATTCATTCTACTCAGGATTAACAGTCTAATGAGAACTGTCACTCTCCTAACTCACATCTCTTCTGGTAGGTCTAGGACAGGCTACCAAACCATAACTCTCACTAAGGAAAGTGCTGTGATTAAAAATAAATAAAAAGTCGGGGGCTCACACCTGTCATCCTAGCTACTTAGGAGGCTGAGATCTGAGGATCACCAAAGCCAGCCCAGGCAGCTAAGTCCCTGAGACTCTCATCTCCAATTTAAAAAAAAAAAAAAATCCACTCAGAAAACGAAATGGTGATGTGGCTCAAGTGGTAGAGCACTAGCCTTGAGCTGAAGAGCTGAGGGACAGCACCCAGGCCCAGAGTGGAAGCCCCACCACTGACAAAAACAAACAATAAAAGAAATACTCAGGTGGCTCACACCTGTAATTCTTGTTACTCAGGGGGCTGAGATCTGAAGATCCAGGTTTGTAACCAGCCCTGGCAAAAGTCTGTGAGACTCTATCTCCAATGAACCACAAAAAAAGCCACAAGAGCAGATGTGGCTCAAGTGGTAGGGAACCAGTCTTCAGTGAAAGAGCTAAAACACAGTTCCCAGGCCGTAAGTTCAAGCTCACGTTCTGAAACACACACACACACACACACACACACACACACACACACACACACGCACTTTATAAAGGGGATAGAGGGCTAGGCTAGGAAGGTGGTTCAGTGGTAGAGTGCTTGCCTTGAGTACATGAGGCCCTGGGTTTGATTCTTCAGTACTACATAAGCAGAAAATCCGGAAGTGGCACTGTGGCTCAAGTGGTAGAGTTCTGGCCTTGAACTGAAGAGCTGAGGGACAGCACCCAGGCCCAGACTTCAGGCCCCACCACTGACAATATAAATAAATAAAATTTAGGGGCTGGGAAGGTGGCTCAGTGGTAGAGCACTTGCTTTGCATGCATGAGGCCCTAGGTTCGATTCCTTAGCACCACATAAGCAAAAAAGAAAAAAGCCGGAAGTGGCGCTGTGGCTCAAGTGGTAGAGCGCTGGCCTTGAGCTGAAGAGCTGAGGGACAGCGCCCAGGCCCAGAGTTCAGGCCCCACTACTGGACATCCCTCCCCCAAAAATAAAATTTAAAAAGGCAGGGGGGAGGGTGAATGGGGGGAAATAGAGGCATGGCTGAAATGGCAGAATAAATACCCAACAAGTATGAAATATTGAGTTCAATCTAGTGCCACTGTCTATTACCCAAATACTACTCTACCATACATGCTGGGTTTTTTTCAGGCATGGAGTGAAGTATTCTTTTTCGTGCGATTTGTGTGGGTGTGCAGTGCCAATACTGACATTTAGACTCAAAGCATGACTCAGAATCACTAAGTAATTCCTCAACCCCCAAACATTCACAAAAGTGAAAGCAGCCATTTTCCTTTTCCACACCTGGTTGAATACAAGAGGGGCTGGAAGCCCCCAGGGTGGCAGGCAGCATGGGGAGGGGGGGACACAGCTGTGGTGAATACACCTTGCAGAGTCTGACCAGCAGAGGGCAGGAGAGGCCGGCCTAGTGCAGAGAAGCCTGTTGTCAGCACACACAAAGCCCACACCTGAGGCTCCTGAGCCAACTGTGAGGAGTGTCCAGGGCTTTGGCATCTGGCCTGCAGGGAGGGGCTCTGGGAAGGAGGGCCTTGCTCCAGAGACTGGCTCTCAGTGCCACCTAAAATTTTCCAGGCCTCATGCCTACCATTGGGGCAAATGGTCCATCGAGGTTCCCTCCAGACAGAGTGGAGACATGATATAGTCTTAGGCCTGTGACCCAGACTCTGGGGAGGTCCTCAGAGCCACGGTGCCACAGCCAATGCCCAGCACAAGGATGCTGCCCCACCATCAACCATCTGGAGCAATGAGGGACACACTCCTGCATGAACCTCTACAACCTCTGGTCCTGTTTCAGCACAGCTTCAAAATGGCTTCTCTCCTTACCATACTTCCCCTTCCCCCATGGTGTGCACCTGTGTCTCCACAGCACACGAGCCCAGCATGCCATTCCTTCTGCTCCAGACTTGGCACACGCAGATTCAGGTCACTTAGCCGAGGGCTGCTCGGGCTCTGGGACAGACTCCTCAAGTCTGATTGGGAGAGGCGAGAGTCAGTTATTGAGAGGAATCCCAAGGGGCTCCTCAGGCACCTGAGGAGGGAGCAAATGATTACAGCTGCGAACTGCTGGAGACAGGCGGGGTGAGGACTGTGAGGTCTGCTCCTGGATGGCGAGCAGACTCCACCCTCCTCACAGCAAAGTCTCCACCCAGTACCTGTGTTACCTAGGCAACTGGCACACCTGGAAGAGGCCACATCTGCATCTGCTGAGATCACATCTGAATTTGATGTGGCCACACTTTTCTCCACCCATACCCTAGATAAGGCCTAGCCCAGGCCCAGACGCTTTCTTTTCTACCTCTTTTCTCTTTTCTAGCTCTTTTGTAGCTCTTTTCTCTCTCTTTCCCAGCTCTCCCAGCTCTCTTTACCAGGCCTTTCCCCACCACAGGGAGGACCAAGATGACCTGGTGCCAGCCGGATCAATGAATAAACCTACCCCTTACCTGAATACCACGTACCTCTTTTTAAAAACTAACATAAAAGCCGGGCGCTGGTAGCTCACGCCTGTAATCCTAGCTACTCAGGAGGCTGAGATCTGAGGTTCGCGGTTCAAAGCCAGCCCGGGCAGGAGAGACCGTGAGACTCCTATCTCCAATAAACCACCAGAAAACCGGAAGTGGCGCTGTAGCTCAAGTGGTAGAGCGCTCGCCTTGAGCTGAAGAGCTGAGGGACAGCGCCCAGGCCCAGAGTTCAAGCCCCACGACCGACAAAAAAAAAAAAAAAAACAACCTTAACATAAACACCCTCAAAGGAGAGGAGTATATGGAACAGGATCCATGCTGCTGTGACCACAGCCAGGATGCTGTGTGGTGAAGAACCTGACTATAGTCACAGCCACCCTCTGGGGGTTTGACCCCAAAGGCAGGTGTCCTAGAATTGCTGGTATTCCCCAGACCCCACACACCAGCCAAGTTCTCTGCAGTTCCAAAGGCAGAGGGCTTCAGAAGTACAAAGTGATCAAGATGTCACTGGAGTTCTAGAAAGAAAGTGAGAATGGAAGGAAGAATCCCAGGGAGGAAGCAAGGAGAAGAGGAAGGAAGGAAAGGAGGAAGGCCTTGTGGACAGGCTCAGTGTGGAGATCTTGACTGGCAGCACAACAGCCCAGCATCTAACTCAAGCACAGACAGACATGACATGTGCTAACATAGAAAGCAGTGCTGAATTATTTTCTCAAGTGCCAAAGATTGAACAGGGGGCTGGGAAGGTGGCTTAGTGGTAGACTGCTGGTCTAGCATGCATGAAGCCCTGGGTTCGATTCCTCAGTACCACATAAACAAAGCTGAAAGTGGTGCTGTGGCTCAAGTGGTAGAGTGCTAGCTTTGAGAAAAAGCTCCGTGACAGTGCCCAGGCCCTGAGTTCAAGACCCAGGACTGGCAAATAAGCAAAAACAAAACCAAACAACAACAAAAAAGGAATATTTGATCTGTAGTCCAGTGTATCCTGATAGCATTTTCCAGAATAATATAGCCAGATTCTTTTTTCTTTTCTCCCTCCCTCCCTCCCTCCATCTCCCCCTCTCTCCCTCTCTCTCTCTCTCTCTCATTTGTTGGGCTTGGACTCAGGTTCAGGGCACAGTCGGTAAGCTCTGTTGGCTCAGGGCTAATGCTCCACCACTTCAAGCCACAGTGCTACTTCAGGTTTCCTGTTGATTAATTGGATGTAAGAGTCTCTCACTTTTCTTCCCAGGCTGATTTGAACCTCGAGCCTCAGAACTCGGCCACCTGAGGAGCTAGGATTCAGGCATGAGCCAGCATTGTCCAGCTCAGAGTTTTTTTTTTTTTTAATTGTGAAAATACTGTACAGAGGGGTTACAATTACAAGGGCAAGATAATGAGTACATTTCTTATCAAGCATTGTAGTCTCCTCCTTTGCAGAGTTTTGTTTTGATTATTGTTGGTTGGTTTGTTCAATCAAAACAAGCTATTAAGCCAGGCGCTACTGGCTCGAGCCTGTAATCCTAGCTACAGTAATCCTGAGATCTGAGGATCAGGGTTCAAAGCCACCTTTCCCACAGAAGTCTGTGAGACAGGGGCTGGGAAGTTGGCTCAGTGGTAGAAGCGCTTGCCTTACATGCCTGAGGCTCTGGGTTCGATTCCTTAGCACCACATAAGCAAAAAGAAAAAAGCCGGAAGTGGTGCTGTGGCTCAAGTGGTAGAGTGCTAGTCTTGAGCAGAAGAGCTGAGAGACAGCGCCCAGGCCCAGAGTTCAGGCTCCACGACCGGACCCCCGCCCCTCCCCAAAAAAAAGAAGTCCGTGAGAGGCTTATCTCCAATATACCACTTAAAAACCAGAAGTGATGCTGTGGCTCAAGTGGTAGAGCACTCGCCTTGAGATGAAGAGCATGAGGACAGCTCCCAAGTCCAGGACGAAAAAAACA